TCTTGGGATAGACGCAGTCGGTGATCTCCGCTTCGTCATGCTCAGGGTCGGCGCGCAACCTCTTCGCACTTGATTTTTTCGGGGATGTATACACACAGCAGCACTTGTTGGGCATTTCTTGATCTTCACGAGGGCAAAGGCGAGCACTAGCGCTGTCGAACGAGCAGGGCAGCACCGGACTTGGGGGGGGCGGGGGGCGGGGAGAGTCTGCCAAGAGTTTTTGTCTGCGCCGAGACCCACCGCCGGTAGGTGTATTGTAGTTAGACACAGACCTGCGGTACGTTACATAACACAGGGGATGTGGGGAAAGCCCGAGACTATTACTAGTATTACAGTAGTCTCGGAAGTTTTTGCTTGGGGTACATAGTTGTTTCGTCCGATTGGATTCACGCACTTGATTGGCCGCTTGTGAGAGGGTTGTGGAGGGTGGGGGGGCGGTCTTGCTGCATTTGTGCGGTAGGCGGTAGGCACACACGTTTGTTCCCTCGAAAAGAGGGCAGAGAGGGAATCTGTTTTCGTCTGAGATTTTTTTCGCGGGGGTACTGCTATGTTTTTGCTCTTCTTTGCGCGCGCATGAGTAAGGGTGACGCGGAAACTCAAGGGTCTAGGTATAAAGTCGGGTGGTATGTTGGTATGCTCCTTGTGGTGTCCCTGCCTGCCGTGCACAACGGTCTCGCCATGAAGAATCAGATGGATCAGAATTGACAACGGCTTGGTGGTCATGAAGCGTGAGCCAGGTTTGGGTTTGAAACGAGAGAAAAATACAGTTGTGTGCTCGACTTTTGGAGTTTTTGTCTGTCCTGCCTGTTTTTGTGCTGTTTCGGGGCAGGCGCACGCAAGCAAATCCGTCCACCAAGTTCGTGCTACGTGATGCACATATCACGGCGATATGCCAACAGATGACCTGGAAGATGATAGTGCTCGGCCTGGTACCTTGTACGCTCAAGTTCTCCGGGCTGTGTGTGTTTGTGCGTGCGAGGGCATAATAGACAGTTTTGTGTATTCGGGAAGAAACGGTTTCGTCAATCGCCTACTACTATTTTTCTCGCCCCAGTTTTGTTGAACCCCGCCGGTCAGGTCAGACGACTTTTCGTAAGAGAAGGCATCACACTACCTTATGAGGAACGTGCGCGTGGAGTCCTTCTCTCCCGCTGTGGCCGCATTCATGTTTAGCAGCAGCGTAGCAGGAGTGGAACTTTTGCACGGTCGTGATTGGTTCAGGCTGTTCCGTCCCAGCTACTGTAGGACGGGCAGTTAGATTTGCAGACAGACGTGGGAAGGAGTTGTCACCCCCCCCCCCCCCCCCCCCCC